GAACAAAAGTTTATCGCTCCCTTGGTTTACCAGTCTTCCCTTGACACCTGTGAATCTAACTACTGTGGCCTCTGTTACATGCTAAATCTGATTTCTTTTTTCTTTTTCTTTTTTTACAGTCTCTCAACTTTCAACTTGATCCCTTAGATTTTATTTACTTTTAAAGACTTCCTCTAGAAACGATCAAACCTTTACTACTCACAATAACTTCTGATAGCTGTTTTTTTCCCCACCTGTCGTCAGTGTCACTCGGTGAAGTCTTATTTATTCGACCCTTATCACTAAAAAGCCGCCCAAATTGTACTTGCAGAATAGGTTTACTAGTTCAGTGGGCTTCCTCATTTTGAAAATACTCTTATCAAATAATGTGACCTATGTCTCTGAAGGTAATGAGAGTACAATCTCAGTTGATTACTGTTTTTTGAAGCTATTATGCGCGATTTGTGTACTGACTGAGTGGCCTCGACTTTTATACATATATATCCACACAAGGTAAACGCAGCATGTAAATATGTATCATTGATTATGATACAGCATATGAAACAGCAGTGCCAGCACATTTTACTCGATCATATCAACATTTGGGTTTACAGTTCTCTCTGTCCACCTTTTTCTACAAGTGTCTTTCTGTTGATTTCTTCGGTTGAAACATTCCACTCGTCTTGTGAACAATGTGCAATGTAAAGAGTATGTGGGGCCCAGATTTTGTCTATCTTAAGTATTCACATGGTTGCAGTAAGGGTTCTGGGACTGGGGTCTTGACAAAGTATGCTTGTTTTAGGGGCACACAGGTTCCTTTTTTGTAGTTGCTTACCTCATCATTTTAGGTATTGCAGTTAGTTTGGATGAGAAAGATGCGATTGGTGTAGACGGTTATTCAATGCACTTCAGCTGGTGGACTAGCAATACCTAACTCTTAACACCAGGAGGCGATACAGTTACACAGCAGTGGCACCGAAGGAATCACAGCGATGATGAAATCATTGTTTTATGCATTTATACTTCTTCCAGTTGTCAGTTCCACCGGGGGAACATGCACACAACCGTTTTCTGGGCCTTGAATAGGGGCTGTGCTGTAGCAGTATTTATGGAGTGAAACAAAAACATAGCACCAAAATGACAAAGTGCCCTTTAATGTTCCTTTTGATAATGCACTTTTCCTTTGTTCTTTCTGTTAAAAAAAAAAAAAAAAAGTTCTTAACATTTGTTGACTGTGTTTGTTGCAGGTCTTAACTGAAAGCAAAGATATTCATGCACAAGTTTTCCATGTACCTTATCTGGGCTTCCTGAAAACATCTGAGCACTGAAACCTCATTTTTCTTTAGTCAGTATAATGAAAATATACTAAAGGCCTTTGATTTAGAGATGTTTTTCATTCCTATTCCCAACATTCCAGCATTCCCATTAATTGATATTTCACTTTTTCAAGCTTTTTATGCATTTCCATCCCCATTGATGCTTTTGGGAACCCCAGATGCACCTACCCCACTCTCTCTCCTTCATTCCCTCCCCTCTACCTCCTCTCTTCAGATGTCACCATGTCTTGTTTTGGCTCACTATCATGGCCATTTGAACTATGCATTCTGGGTGCGTAGAAAACCTCAAAAAGCTTTGCACATTTGACTTGACGAGCTTTATTTGAGATTAGAATTGTGCGAAGGATCCTTGCTGTTTTATTTTCTGCTGTCACTCCAAATTCTATTTCCTAAATTGAGCTGTTCAGACGTAAGAATAGGAAATTACCTGAAAGCTGATTAAAATCACCTCTGATGTTTTACGGTGAGAGCACATGCACAGTTTCCAGCGGTGCTGAAGAGTTAAAGAATTGAATATGTGACTGCCTTTATGTTAACCTGTGGAATTAAATCATTGTTAATGTGGTTGGAGTTTGTGGTTGGACAATTTTGGCTTAACTGGCTCTTACAGATTAAGCTATTTCATGACTCGATAAAAATCCACGTTTTTAGACTTAGTCTTAAATTTGGTCTGTAAAATGAGTTCACTTCTTCTTTTGATTGGAGTCATTAGTATTTCTCGCCAGTTTGAAATTTGCCAGCTCTATGTTAACATATCTTCAACTTTGTCTAACTAAATTTGGATTTTGTTGCCGATTTCATGGGGAGTAAATTAAATAATTCAGCAATTGTAAATAAGATCTACAATGATTGTACTTCATAAATCTTATTGATCTACACCTTTTGTAGATATGTGTACTTTTGATGATTTATTAAAAATGAGATTCTTAAAAAAATTCTTTAGTCAACTTATTTATTAAATTATATCAGGAAGGTTACTTTAAACATGTTTTATTTGTTTAATATTGGAATTTGACTTGTAATCAGAAGATGTTATCAACTGGAGACTGTTGAAAACGTTTCATCCAAAACTCCCTTTGTATTAACATGACAGAATAATATTTAATTTTCTAAAGCATTATATAATTTTCTTGGCCAGCTGTAATATATGGAGGACCAAACCTGATTTTCTAGAAAATAAGTTGAGTACATTAAATATAAAAGAGAAATTTAATTATTTTTAATTATTTGTATAATTCCCAACATGACAGGACCCTTATGTCATGAAAGCAGGACAGACAATGATTAATAGGTATGGCCTAATTTATTTCTCTTGGGTGTGTAGGGCTGTATTAAAATACAATGGACCGTTTACACAGCAGATATTATGACATGTGATAGGAAACTCACAGGTCTGTTAATGATTGTTGCTTTCCTCTTACAGTAGTGGGAGGTCCTGCTGTCATTGGCACCGTTACTGTCAAACTGTCCATTCACGGTCCTTTAGTTAAATGATTGTATACTATGATATAGAATATAGAAGTCATTAAAAATTTGTCTAATAATTAGAACACTTCAGGGTCTCCTCACACAGGGTGTCCAAATGAGATTTCTTTCCTAAAATGTATGCATTCAAAAAACAGTTGTTTCAGTTGTTTGTTTACTATATTTATAATTAATTTTATATGATCATTTTGTACAATTGAATTATCTCATTGCCTAAGGAGTCAGTGCTGCATAGTTTTGTGTAATCTTCACCCTTACAGCTGGAGTAAAGGTGTGTTCACATTCTGAGCTGCTGACTATTCCAGTCACCTGATCCAACCAGCCAGCTACAGCACACTGTCAATATATGCCCACAGGACTTCCTGCAGTCCCAGTTAAAGTATCATTTTGAATGATTTGTACTTTACTGGAGTGTTTCCATTTTTTTGCTACTTCATTCTTCTATTTCACTACAATTCAGGGGCAAATATAGTTTTTACTCCACTATGTATATTTGATAACTGTAGATTCTTTCCAGATTCAGATTAATAATACAAGTAAATAAGTATAATTGACAAATAAATTATGATATAATTATATCAATAAGACTTTACTGCTCCCCAAATGGAAATTCACAAACTACCCAGCAGTAGATTATGTCACGTATTTATAAAATATATGTAAATACATTAAAATTAGCCCAACATTTACCAGCTGCAATAGTATTATGATGCACACATTAATTATAATCTGGCATAATCCAATAATATTATGTTATATAATATTATATTATATATTATTATATTATTCTATGGGCCATTCTGCACAATGAGTACCTTTTTGTACTAAGTAAGTATTAAGTATCTGGCAGCAACTGATACTGTGATGTAGAAGAATGTGAACCACTAATCATTGTGTAAGATACTTAAATATCAGAATAGGAAGTTCAGGCCACCTACTTTAGAAATGTCTTAATGAAACTATGTTTACATCTTCACAGTCACTTTGTATCAGGACTCTACCTACAGTTTAGTTGGTTGTTTGTGTGTAAATTGAGCACACTAGAGCAGAAAGACTTTTACCTTTATTTAGGTGTTTTTTCATTTGAACAACCATCATGTGGGAGGAAAACTCCCCAGGTTGGTTCTTTAATTTCTCTGAAGTGGCTCTCCGGCATTACCAGGCATTTCTATTGAACCGGTGCAGTGAATAGTTAATATGTCACAGATAACAATAACACCAATGACCATGAACTTTATTGTTAAGATAGTTCCTGTGAGAGGTTCTTCTCTGAATAGCACAGTAGTCAGAGAAGAACCTCTCACAGGAACTATCTTAACAATAAAGTTCATGGTCATTGGTGTTATTGTATAGGGAAGTCAGACAAACTCTTGCAGAGTTGTCCTGCATTTACATATTATTAAAATCCTAATTTCTTTAAAAAGCTAAAAAAATAACTTATGTAGTAGCTACATACATTATATATGAAAACAGAAATGTTTCTTATAGATGATAATTAATTGCAGAGTTGGTGATTTGACACCTGGTCCCTCCTGTCCTTCAACAACACACTGAACCCCAAGTTGTCTGTTGAGGCAGAAGAGTGCAATGTAAGAGCTGACCATTAAATCACGTGTGGTGTTGCTGTATTGCATTTCATTATATTGAAATCAGGGTGCAGTGAAAGCTTAAAGGTTAGAGAGGGTTAGACAGTATGTTACACAAATTTTTACTCCAGGGGTGCCACTGAGATGGTGCTGGGCAGCCTTCAGGGTTGAAGGTCTGAGTGTTAGTAGGGCCTTACTAAAAAGGGAGGGGCGCCTCAGCGAAACTCCCCTGATAGAATAAAGGTTTTAAGAAATTAATACATTATCTAATTATAAATATGGAATAAAGCAGATAACAGCTAGAAAACATTCATCATAGTTCACTGATCTTATTGAATTCTAACCTCAGTACTATGAACTCATAGCCTACTTGATCAAATCTACTGTTATGCAACAGCTGAAGAGAGCAGGACTGACGTCTCTCTTTTAATCTCTGTTGGCTACTCTATGATCAGTCACTTTGACCTCATTTTCATTAAAGACTCAAACACCTGTGGTTTTATGATGTACTTCACATCTACTGTCACACTTTTTAGAGATAATAATTTACCTTCTGTCTGACCATTTAAAGGACTGTTGGATAATCTTTGTAACTCTTATTTTCTACATTAGGAAGTATTCACTCTGAATGTGCGTGACTGTGAAACAGCTACTCAACTCTAAAGATGTGAGTTTTGTCTCCGCCCCCACACAGGTGTTGTCAGGCGAGGCAGCTCTGCTGTGTCATTTTATCACGGAGCTTCCGGACAAGGTGAGGGACTTTTGCTGTGAGCTAGATTAAATATAGAGATCTCTAATATGATTGAGTGTTATTTACAAAACCAGTGTAATTTGTAATTGTTTGCGTGTTTAAGATTTATTTAAACCAAACTAAACTGGTGTAATTTCTTCAATAATTAAACAGTATTACAAGAAGTAAAACTGATAATAAGAATTGTAAATGGTCTTTATTTATTATGGGGTTTTTCTTTCTGCAACTGAGGAGCAATTATTCAGTAACATTATGTGTAATGGAAAAGGGATAAAGAAACTGATTGTTGCAGTATTGTTCTGAGATATTAAATCATTTGAATGTATAATCTGATCATTATCAGCCTGAATGCTGTGATTTGTCTACTGACAGCTTATATTTCTGTACGTGCTTGTACTGTATGTACACTATTTATGTACAGTGTGTATCAGGTATGGACTCAATGACCTGTAAATTGCGCATTTGCAGGTCTTTGTGCTCAGAGAATTTCCCATAAGACACAACAGAGGATTAAATGAGCTGTTTCCCAGGATGATGGAGTTTAGTCAGTCGTTTCAAGGACAGCATGATGCTTTCACCTGGTTCACAAAGTCCCAGCTCCAGTCTGTGATCAGGAACGGTATTGTCCCAGAATGGTTTCATGGGATAATTTCCAGGAAGTAAGTTCACAAAGTCTACCACTATCTGCCATCTGTAACAGTGGAAGTAGACTGGGAGGAATGTGGAGAGTCATGTTTTAAAAATAATACACGATAAAGATATCAGGGTCGTGTTCCAACATGCTGTGAAGACATGCTTTAGTATAGTCATTTATGTTTAGCATCCATCGTGTTCTTTTATTAAAACAAGTAAAATGTCAACTTTATGTAGCTCCTTTCTAGAGCAGACATTACAAAGTGTTTCACAATAACAAAAGTGGGACATAAAATACAGCCACAACATAAGAATTATGAGTATAAATACATAAACCTAAACAAGGAAAAATCTTGAATCTCCAAAATGTCAAATTTTAAGGAAGTAATAAAAACTTTTCAGGAAGTCATTGACAACTATAGAACCACAAGGGTCAACATCTTTCTCAACACCCCTTATACTGCATGTGGTTGTTTCAGTGAAGTAAAACATCAAAAGCCCTTAACAAAGATATCCTACCTTAACTCAGACAAAAAAACAAAACTTGGCCACTGCATCTTTCATCTACAGGTTTACTGCCTTTGACCTTGATTTTACAAGTTTAATACCCATTAATCACATTGACGTAGCCTCTCGAATGGTGGACTGTAATACTTGAACATACTTTTACTTATAAAGAATTTTACATTCACAACTTTGTATAATGGATGACATATGTGGATTATTACAAGGCAGGGTGTACTCCATCGGTTTATTAATGTCCATGCATGGTAAGAAAATGTTAAGTATTGAAAGCTAAGCTGTTTCCTATAGCTCTTAAGATGACAAATTCCTACACAGTGACTTTCACAGGAAACTGATTTCAGCTCCAGTTCACATACAAAGCCATCCTATAAAATTGCCAGATCATTTACAGATTAAAATGCAAGCATGAAAGGGCTTTTTGTCTGTGGTAATTCGGTTGCATGTTATTTCTGCAGGACGGCAGAGGAACTGCTGATGTCGAAGCCTCCTGGCTACTTCCTCATCAGAGTGAGCGAGAGCAGGATTGGCTACACTCTCTCATACCGGTGAGTGTTTGAAGGATTAAAAGGAGCTTTATTTTACAGTTTACACTCACACAATGTCCAAAAAGTTCACTATTCCTGATAAAGCCTTTCTTTTCAATCTCTTTGGCCCTCAGTGCTGAGGACCGCTGCAGACATTTTATGATTGATGCATTGGAGGACGGCCATTACATCATAGTAGGGGAGAACAGGCGTCACCGGTTTCTGCAGGACCTGGTGGACTTTCACCGAAGAACTCCCATTATGCCTTTCAGTGAGGTGCTGACTGTCGCTTGTGGACAGGTGAAGAAATGTTTTATTTCCTACCTGCATACAACTGCCTTAACTGAACAGTCATTCCATACATTACTGATTTCTCTAGTTTAGGTTATTGAATGTATTGTTTCTCACCATTTTTCTGCTGTTTATTTGCTTTTAGACGTTTATATTTAATGCCCTTAGTTAAAACTGAATGAGCTTTACCATCTGAAATCACATGATTTGCTTGTAACCTGTGCACCATACAAAAAGAGAGCAATCACAAATTGTCCTGTTCCTCTTTCTCTCTGTTTGATTCTATGTAAGGCCTCCAATGACAACACTGACTATGCAGAACTACTGTTTCCCCAAAGAAATCCGAACCCTAACACAAGTTTGCTACCAAACAATCTCATGGTTCCCAGCACAAGTCACCCAGTACCACCGGAAGATATCCCACCTGCCCTTCCTTATCGTCCAAATAACCTGAGGAACTCTGCAGTCCTGCCTCCAAACAAGCTTTACCCTACTTTGGAGGATGAATATCCACATGCCACCTCACCTCCTCCAACCACGGTAATGGTGACCTCAGTGGATTGTTTTAGATATTGTCTGGTGCTAAAACTGATGTCATGTTTTAATTCTTTAAATTCTTAAGATAAAAGATATCCACAAAGCAAAGGGATTCTCAAGACATTACAAAGGCAATACAGGGAACCATCATGTTGTGTTTCCATTCTTGCTTTTTTCACTGGTTTGATCTGGAAATGAAAATTTTTTTTGTGCTCAAATCTAGAAAATCCAAAATTTAGCAAATGAATTTGAACTGATGACACTTGTGGGGGCTGTTTCCTTACATTGTCATTATTGTTAAACTCCTAAAACATAACTAAAACATGTTTTACCCAAACTTCGACTGTTGCTTATTTATGCATGTTTCACGTTATGATCTCCAGCCTGTGCCAAAGACCAGAAACAGATACACAGCCGACAGCCCCCCATCCAACCCCCGTCCTGAAGTCCCAGCTCGGACCTCTGTTCCTCCACTGAAGCCGAACCAGGCTTGTATCAGAACTGTCTCTGCACCTAGGAGTCCCTGCACACCGACAGCCACTGAACACTCGTTCTGTGCCAACATCCAGCCTGTAAAGAACCAGGAAGCAAAGCCATCAGTCGTCACCAACCTAAAGAACCTCAAGAAGAAATTTCAAAAGAAGAGGAGCACATCGCAGGAGTTAACTTACACAGAGATTAATGTGGAGGCAACTGGAAACACTGAGAATGAGTACCAGGAGATCGCAGGGCAGCAGACCGTCAGTGATCCAGCATTTTCCTACACTTGCAGTGATGTGAGACTGTCTGATGGAAGGTTACCACAGGAGTACCGTCCACCTCCACCCTTTGCCCCAGGCTACTGACAGACAACTGTTCCCCTAGAAAATACTGTACAGGTGGACTGAAGAGGATTGAAGAAGATCAGTGCATTGTGGAATGACTGAAACGTAACTGAATCAAGGTGAAAAAGGTGGAGCACAGAAACAGCATGCAAAGGAAAAGGAGCGGTAGTAAGAACACTGAAGATTGAAACATTACAAAAGTTTAATAAAGTGCTGTTTCAACCTGCGAGATCTGTGTGTTCACAGGATTTTGTTATCTATGGACACTGGTTCCAGTCTTTGTGCTAAGCTAAGCTAACAGGCTGCTGGCAGGAACTTTCAACATGTGCAAATGATCTCTTCTTTTACTTTACATACCTGAATCAAACCTGCAGATGCCTGAATGGTTTTGATTAAAGCAGTTGCTCTTCTTTTGCAAACAGTACACAGTTATAAAATAGATTAACCTGCTGTCTTCATACTAATAACTAGTGTCAGTTACTTGTGAATGCTTTAGTTTCTATTTATTTGCTAGTCTATTCAACAGAGACGATACAGATAAACATTGTTACATAAGAAGAAGTAGTACAACAAATGCAATCTATAGGCTCTGTCCTATAACCAGCATCCTCCCTGGCCAGGCTTTTATAGGTTAAATGTTTTCATATGCCTCTTTGGTAATATAACAGTAGGAGGAAGTTTTATGGAGCATACTGTATGTAAATCAGAAAAGGCATGGTTAATGTCAGCTGCTTTGAATACAGGAGACATACTGTACTGTAGCATCAGATGCAGATCTGTTATCAGCAATATGACGAGGGAAGCTGGAAGAAAATGCAGATACTGGTCAAACTGGTTTCACAGGTAGAAACATACAGGTGAGTCAAATTCACATTTACACAGCTTCAACATATCTGTACTGAGCATCAAAGCTTGTAAATGTCTAATAAATCCCCTTTTTAAATGGCCAGTCTGTATTGGTCTTCAATGCTGTTATGACACATCATTAATATCACTCTTCCATCTGTCAGCAGTTTAAAACAAGAGACACACCAGTTTAATTGTACATAATTTCTGTTTCTGCTCTGTGCAGTTCCTCCTGTCCACTCTCTTCTTCTCCTCTGATCTTTGGACATTATAGCTTAAAGTTTCCTATTCACTCAGTCATGGACTGCATGCTGTGATGGTGTAATTCAACCAGGGGCCTCTATGACATTGCAGTCCCTTTCTACCCCCAGACTCTACTCTTTTATTTTACTGTAAATTAAACTTATTTCTTATATTTCTCACCACATATAAAAACATTAATGTCAAACAGTTTAACTGTTGACTGTGTCAGTAGTAGTCACATCAGTTCAGAGCTCTTCATACCAAACTAACAGGAAACACTTATTATAGGTTACCATCTAGTGGCAGTAAACCACATCAGGTGCTCAAAGAGTGTATCGGTGGTATTCAGATCATTTATGTAATATCACAATATAAAAGTATGTTATAGAAAGTCTGATTTAAAACAAATTACTAAAGCCAATGCAGCAAATTTCATAATTGTATCATATGTTTCAAAATATTAGTAGAATTCAAAATAACAAAAAATTGCCATGGAGATAAAACTTTAATATTTGCCTCAGAAATAATAATAATAATAATAATAATAATAATAATAATAATAATAATAATAATAATATAATTATAAGTGAAGTAGGCTACAAAATTTAAATAGAGTTAATGTCCTCAGTTACTGGGCACTGCGGTGTACGGTGTGCCTCTGACACTTAAATAGAATTATATCATTTCCTGTCAGTCCCTTAGCTCATAGGAAATAACAAAAATAACTCTTTCCATTATTGTCTCACTATTATTGAGATAATAAATTCAGAATTAGGAATTACTAACTCAACATTTTTAAATAAGTATGATGCAAATGTGAATGTTTTTAATTCTTCTAGCTATTTAGTTTTTGTTTGTTTTATAATTTACTACTACTAGTTAGTAGTTAAATTAGTTACTTGTACTCTTGATGCTCACATATTATGGTCCACTGTTTTTGCCTCATAAAGAGGCGCTTAAAGACTTTGGTATTGTTAATGGGAAGGACAATGCTGAATCACCTGGGTGCAAACTTAAGGAGAGCCAGGGGAATAAGACATGAGCTCCCCTGAAAACATGATTAGTGTAATGTTTGGGGGTCCTCTAAAATACTGACAATATGCTATTTCTGGCACCTATTTCTAGTTTTGTGTATCTATATCATCATGAATCATGCATAAACTCTATAAATAAAGGCTATTATTGATGTATGTGTGTTATAGCTATGACATTTTCTCTGGAACAATATGCCCCTAAAGCCCTGATAGGCCTGTAGTTCGCACAGAGGTCACTATTTTCTAGTTCCTCTTACGGGAAACACCCAGCCTTGCCCCGGCACACACGGAGATGGCCAACAAAAACCCTCGGGGAGTTAAATTCGTAACGCATGTCTCTACAGAACGGCCAATCGTTAAACCCCGCCCTCCCCAGTTACCCCCGCACTACAAACCCCGCAGACCCGATAAGCTGTGAGCCGAGGTGACGTCACCTGGAAGCTGTTGGTTTCCATCCAGGGATCAGCCCGCTGTTCCTACACAGCTCGAGGAAGTTCTCCCACTGACGACACCTTTTCTCTCTCTGTGTTTCTGTGACTTTTACAACAACACTTCATTTTTTAACAACAGTTTTTTATTTTATTTTTTGTTTTGAGCCGTAACATCGTAGCGACACCATGACTTCCATGCCAGGACAGCCGGTGACTGCTGTTGTGGTAAGTTTGGGAGTGTGGTTGTTTTCCATTGAAGGAGGTCTCCATTGTTCAGCCTCTGCTCCTCCTCAGTGCTGTGAGCAGTGCTAATGTTAGCTCCCTGTATTAACTGTAACTTACTTTATTTGGCTCTGTTAACTGTGACTTTGTTTATTGAGCTGAAGCTGAAAGCATTTTCTACATCGCAACACGTCATTTATTAAAGATACATTTAACCAATTAACTCGTTAAATCGCCGCTTCGGTGAGTTTGATATAAAATATAGCATAATGTATTGAGGAAAATAATATAACATTTCTGTTGTTGGTTGTTAAATTAAAGGCATGTGAATGTCATGATAGCTAACTATTCTTACAGATGGGCGTCACCACTGGTGTGATTCAGTGTTCCTGGTCGACTTTCATACAAAGTTACAGAATATAAAGTAAATAAAGGGTTGTTTTTTTTGTTTGCTTCCTTCATATATCACTGCAGGAAGTAGCGTCACTGTAGTGGTAAAAAGTGTTTTGTTGTGATTTAGCTATGAAGTGGTAGTTAGTTGGATATGACCGGGATAGCTGGGAGTTTGCCAGGCCTGAGGTGCAGAGATCTGATTATGTGTGAGGGGTGGGGAGCAGGTAGCATGGAGGTCAGCTTCATCACTGTGTGTCATGGTGTGGTATTAATACAATCAACAATCAACAACAACAACAACAATCAACAACAGGCCCATCAAGTTTAAGTAAAGTAAAGAGCTTTGGTACATAAATTGAAACAGCACTTTGTTGCTTATTAGAAACTCAGTCAACAATCTATAACTTTATAAATATCAGTGATTCTTCCAGACAGCTTGATTGTTAAAGATGTGATATTTATTAAAGAGTTCGGACAAAGATGTGAGACATTTTAGACTTTAAAATAAAGCCCAATTGATATATCAGTTGGTTGATATTATCGGTCGATATTGGTCTATCGCAGACATATCGTATTGGTATCGGTGTATATGTCATATTATATGCACCGGTATTTTTTCAGGTATATAATGTTAATGCAAAAAGGCTTGTAGGCTTTTAATTTCTATAACTGGTTGACAATGTAGCCTGTATGTTAAAATATTTAACTTAAATATCCTTATATTTGGCATTTCTGTACTGCAATCTGACTTATAGGCAAATACTAATATATCTGCGATAAGCTAATATCAGACAATATATTGGCCGGATCCATTTATTGGATGGACTCTTAAGTATGGCTTCATGATATAGTAAAAATATCATATTGCGACAGATAGATATTGTGATTGTGACACGATTCACAATTAGTGGGAATCATTCTTGCATCACAAATCTCATTTTTACTGGAAAAAAATGGTAAAATCATGATGATGTGACATTTGTCAGTGTCTGTACAAAACAAACACATTTTCTTCCATCTGGAGAACAAGATTTGTACACCAGGGCATCTCTACAGCACTACAGTACCTCATTCTAATACTGCTGCCACACATTTTACCTTATAGTTGTTCAGCCCTAGTTCAAATATAAATTATTATTAATACTTATTAAAACTAATAAGATTTAATCTGCTTCATCCTCTCGCAGGCCACATATAGAAATGGGCCTATTTGTTTACAGGTTGGGTCCTATTTAAGTTTGAAATTGTTTTGGTGAGAGAGTGATAGAAGTTCTTCCAGTCAGGCTTATAAACCTCTTTCTATTGGGAGAAAGAAATGTGTTGTAGTGCCTGCAAGTGCAGACTGACTGACTCTTACCCAGACATCCTCAGACTTCACTGTATCAGCCACAACACTCATTGAGTGTCTGGTTATTCATCACCACACACAGAGGCAGTCTTTGTGCTGAGGAGTGTTGAGAGGAGTCCTACTGTCAGAGTCATCTATCCATCTGGTTAGTGAGCCTGCAGCTGCTTGTCAGAGTCAAGGGCAGGGCTGCACTAATAAAGTCTCTGTTCCAGTGTGGACTTCAATTACTAGGGAACACCACTGATATCTGTGTCGTGGAGAATAAATCAGTACTCTACTACACTACGCTGGACAATAACTCGGCAGTATGCTGCAGTTTTCCTGATTTCACATTGATGGCAAGCCGAATTTCATTGTGATATCAGACCTTTTATTTTGCACCATGCCCAGTCCGTAGGCCTGTGCGAGACACTAGACTGATTTCTGGAAATAAATTACAATCATATTTAGAATAATGTTACTGGTTAGAGAAGGCAATAGTTTGCTTTGCACCGTTACATCCCGGGAGTCTGGATAAAGCTAGCTCACAGTATTTTGCAACGTTAGCGAGCTAGCTATTTGAGCTTTTATTTATTTTGAGCCAAATAAATAATTTTATCAACTAGTGAGTGTGTGAGTTTGGGAGTAACGGTGTTATGGTGGACTATTACATCTAACAAACAGTTCTCTCATACAGTAAGAGCGGGAGTCTTTAATGCACAGTAATGTACAGGGACTCGTCCCAGTGACACTGATATAGAGACAGTAGTGTCCACTGTTTTCCTGATTAGAGACTGTCCATATGTAACAGTAGTTTTAAATCAAATACTGAAAGCATTTGGTGTGTCAGGGCTTTTACATTAGTAGGCAATGCCCTATGAAGATGGATCTGATTTTGTTTTTCTTTCTGTCAAACAGCAACGTATTGAGATCCAAAAGTTGCGGCAGGCAGATAATCTGATCCTGGGCTTCAGCATCGGAGGAGGGATAGACCAGGACCCTGGACAAAACCCCTTCTCTAAGGACAAGACTGACAAAGTAAGTCTAGATGTGTGTATGTGTATCCATGCTCTCTGTATACTGCATTAAATGGTACAGGGGCAAGTAATTGGGACACAATTACTATATTACTTAATACTATTTGGAACACGAAGCTACCAGTTGATTTCTAATGAGGTATAAGTTTGTTCCTGATCCCATCCCTGTCCTGTTGAAGCGCCGTGGTACTAGAGCAGTACTTTCGTGAGCTGCAAGTGAGGAGCAGGCCTGAACACATCACCTCCAGCCTCAGGGCGGGAACAAACCATGATGTCATGGACAGGAATACTGCAGGTTTTCAGTCTCGTCTTGTCTGCTGAATGTGTATACACAGTCTGAGCTGGAGAGATGGAAATGGCTCAACAGATGCCAGCCACAGATGAGTTAGTTTTTAGATATTAGATTCTACCTTTTTGACCTTTTACGCTCTCCTTTAGATATTCTTGTTTATGAGCATTATTGGAGTTTTCCAGCAGAGCTCTACAAGTGTTCTCATCTCATTGATATACTTAAAAAACAATGGGCGTCTGTGCTGTTTTCTTAAAAGTATCTGTTCCTTGTAGTGCTGAGACGATAAGTCCATTACTGTAAAAATGTGGTATTTAAAATCATGCAATCAAGTGAGAGAATTTGCTGCTTTTCTCTGTTTTATTTCATTGTACACTGAATATCTTTTGGTTGAGCAAAACAAGAATTTTGTGTTTGTTTTTCACTATTTTCTGACTTTTTTTGTGTGTTGTTCTAAGGGCATCTACGTGACCAGGATAACACCAGAAGGACCAGCACATGAGGCAGGCTTGAGGATGGGAGACAAAATACTGCAGGTGTGTAGTGGAAAAGCTTTGGTCTCGATCCACAAGATGGCACCACATGTACACTAGAGAGTCAGACAGGAGCTGTACATCAGGAGCAGTGCTCGGCTTGGCTACAGCTTTTCTCAAACAAAACTCTGTTCTTCCTCCCAGGTGAACGGTTGGGATATGACTATGATGACCCACGACCAGGCTCGTAAAAGACTAACAAAGAAGAATGAGGATGTGGTGCGGCTACTGGTAACCAGGAAGTCGTTGGAGGAAGCTGTCAAACAGTCAATGGGCAGTGGTCCCAGACAGGAACACTGTGGCACTCCTTCTAACCATAAACTAATGCATTAGCCAAAGTCTGAACACTCTCATATACTGAGACTCCCACAAATTGAGATAATAGTGGCCTTAATAACTATGTCAATGCAAAAATATTACACAGACCACAACGTCTTCACAAGTCAATTCTTACTCATTCTGATCAGTCATTGGACCATACGCACTGAAACTCATCTCAAAGTTATCTGCTTAACTTTGTACACATCTTTGTAGCATATCCACGTGCAACTTGTGAAATATGTGGCAATCCAAAAACAAACTCTCAAATTAAATTAAGAATCCACTGTGAGAATATGATAATTTTAAGTCTTTGGATCAACTTTTGGCATCCAGTTGCGCTCCAAAAGTCACATTTATCCATTTAGACTAAATTAGAGAAACAATTACATTTATAAATGTTGCTGTATGAAAAATAATGTTATAAGTTATGAACAGTTTATGTTGATATTCACAATAATTAGTATAATTACTTTGTCCTTGTTTGGATTTTTGAAAAACGGTGGGCTGAAATTAGTTTTTGGAAGACCTTTCAATAGTGCTTATATATCTCTCTACATTAATTAAAATTATCATAGCACAGCATTCTTGATTAATTTCACCAGGAAATATTTACCAAATGTCCTCAATCCATGTAAAACATATTTGATCATTTTTTGCCTACAGCTGACCAAAGTTACATACATACATACATACATACATACACACATACATACATCAAGAATGTGCATTGCTGTTGTTTTTCTATGTCATTAATGATCAATATTTCATCTCATTTAAATAAAAGAAAAAACAACAGCAATGTGCTGTCAGTCCTGTCAAGATTACAGCACCAAATGCCAAAGTAAGAGCCAAGTCACTGTGAAGAGATCAAAACATGTATAACAGTGTTTGTAATCTTTTGTTTTTTTCCTATAATGGTACAGTATACTGTACAAAGTCTGTACAACAAACCATATTCCTTTATGTTTAGTGTCTTTTCACTAATTATTCTTTTACTGATTAATCTCTCTGTCTTCTATTTATCTTGTTTTGTGACGACGTCTATTACATGTGTGGGAAAGTAACTCTCTTTCTGTGTCTGCGTAACAAAATGTACACGTTCTTCCAAGTTAGACTAATTATGTCTCATACAAACAGTATTCCACTAGCTCGGCCTTCCTTTGGATAAATATCTCATCATTTATCAGTATAGTTTCCTTTTGTCAGGTTCAGCGATGGAAAGTTGGTCTGTTTTGATGCAAACAACCCCAGCAGTGTCACACTGGAATCATTCAGATTGTCTCAACCCATAAAATGTTTTGAAGTTGTTAATTGTCACTGACCAAATGTTGAAACTGTAAACCTGAACCAAACAGGAGTGAATGTGAGCAGCAGCCTTAAATGAAAAGTTAATACCACTAATTCATGATTTGTTCCAATTGTGCCATTCCACTATGGTTTCTGCAAGACAATGATTTACTGCCTCTGATACAGTACCTAGTGGATAACATTGCAAATGAGTGATTTAGTACTAATCATAAACAATACTTTGAAATGCTATAGTACTGATATGATTGACAATATTAATCTTATATCTTTGGGTGATCTTTTTTTTTCATCTTAGTGGTATATGTAATATGTCTTGTATGTGTTTGTATATTATTAACATCCAACCTAATAAGCAAGTGTGTAAAATGTTAAGTTTTCATTCCAAAATTAAATATCCAATGTAAAAACACAGCTGAAGATACAATAATAATGCAATAGAAAGTCAGCATTATGTTGCTGTAGCAATAAACTCATGTTAAAGGTACAGTCTGACTAAAGTAAGTCTCATAATGTATTCTAAGGAATCAAAAAGTATATATATATATATATATATATATATATATATATATATAACAATTTTGGAATGAAACCTTTTGATGCTTTACAGCAGTGGTTCCAACCTTTTTGGCTTGTGAGCCTTAAAATGAAGCCATACTGTGACCCCTCATCACTGATTATGGCCTTAGTGCTGACACAAATTATTAACCGTTCAGTCAAAGTGTTTTTTTGCCTCTTGAATCTTTTCATTCAAATGATTTTTAGAGGTAAACGTATCTAGTATTTTGATAGAAAAGGTAAAACAATTGAGTAAAGCCAGAGCAGGGATTTCCAGCACAACTTCACCTACTTCCAAGATTCAAGGAGAAGGGGAAAAGTTTTGACCTTTTCAGAAAAGCCAAAACAAACATGTTTATACATAATTGTTTTTTTTTTTTCATATTCCTTTTATCATCTTAGGACCCTCAGGGGTTGGAAACCACTGCTTCACATCATTTAGAGTGAGTGTAAGACAAATGACTTGTGTTTTCTATTTGAATTGTCTGCTCCAGATTTTGTAAATGTAAACTTCCAGCAGAGCACAAACCTTTGCCTTTGACTGTATTCAGTTTACTAAGTGAATGTTTCTCAGATATAAAAGGACTGAAAATGAAATATGCCTCTCCACCGTTTATTGATAAAGCGCCAATATAATATGATCAAAAGTAACAATCTATTTTTTTTTTTTTCCTCTTTTTATCTTACAGGCCCTTCAAATAGCTTCATGTTGTCTGTTATAAAGTAATCAGCTGACATTTCAAAGCAAGGAATCTATTCCCTGACCTTTCTGTGTTTACCAAGGCATTTTGATACAGAGAGCTTTCTCTACTTTCATCTCTTAAATATGTGAACCTGGAACCAATCACTTGCCTTTGAAGTGCGGACTTGGGGAAACAAACAGGCCACAATGCAGAAGAATGAGAAAAACTATTAGCAGAAAGTGACTCACTATTAAAAAAGCTTGTGAGAAAAGTTTCTGTTGTATGTGCTGCACCAGTTTATTTAGATTTTGGCTTTTAGAAACACACATTCTTCCATTTTCTTTTCAAAGCAACTGCAGTTAAAACTTAAAGAACAAGCAAATTAGACACATTTCCAATTCTTTTACATCTGTGACTATGAGAGCAATTTATTTATCAATGTATTTGATCATCTCTGTTTTAATGAAGGCAACTGCAATTTGTAACATCTGACCAAGTTAGTTATTAGTGTCATGATGGCAGGCGGTATACAATGTAATGTACTACCAGCAGGCTTGGGGAGTAACAGATTACAAGAGTAACAGTTAACATAATCAGATTACTGTTATATTTAATAAAAGTGGGGATTATTTATCAGTTTTTCTTTCCACTGAGCAGAGGACATGTTTGATGCTAAAAATCTTTTCATTTTCCATTTGTTTCTGTTTCCATTTTCTTTTCAAATGTTACATTGTTGTCTTATTGCATCAATACTTCTTATTGACATTTCTTTTCTCTTGTTTTTATTAGCATATTTGGTGTTGAGGTTAATCCAAAAATAACAGAAAGTAATCAAGTTACGTTCCTTTAATATTGTGATGCTTGGATTAGGCATTTCATATCAGGTAATTAGTTATTGTATCGTAACACTCCCAACCCCGACTACCAGGGAATTATCAGTTTTCTGACACACAGCTGACCTGAATTTGCTGTGTAAGGTTTTTTTTAATCCTTAAAATAACACCTGGTCTGTTGCACATCATGGGAGAGGGTCGATTTAGGGCAACACTGAGCTAATATCCCCCTTTGAGAAATAATTGATGAGCGAACCTGTGTGTGTGTGTGTGGCTGTTATTCTTGTTGCAGGGACAGAAGGAAGCACGCTCCATTCCACTTGCCTGGGCATCATAATACTATTATACCATGTTATGAGACAATAAAGTGGTTGCACAAACATCTCAGTGCTCAGACTCACAATGTGACTTTGCTCTCACCATTACCACAACATTAACACTTTGCATGTTGCTTGGTAACTAATGGACAGCTGTAAGTGGGAGCAGTGACCACCCAGATTCATTACAGGAGGTACTGTGTGCTATCATTTAATCAGCATTTACAAATGAATGATTAGCCTACTCTTCCTAATTTAGCTTCCATGGTCTTCAAAAAGGCTTAATTAATTAGTTTGACTTGAGTCTACTTAAATAGCTTTGATGTTTAAATGTACACACTTATCAAACCATTTATAAATAAAAATTACAAATGAAACCAAATGAAGTGGTTGACATGTTGCACCAAAATAACAATTTCTTCACACTAAAAGATAACAGAGATAAATGTTGCTGCCTGCAGGCAGTGAATAATTACACACACTAAAAAACACTGGGTTAAATTTGACCCAGTGTGGGGTCAGTATAGCACCGATGCAATACTAGGCTAATTTTACGTAGTATCCATTGGTAGAAAACCACCGACCAGGAGGGATGTTTTGATCCAGTAACAGTAACATAAAAATAACACCAACTCCAGGTTAAAACACCGCATTTTTAACCCAGTGTTTTTTTAGTGTGCACTATCTAAACGAGGATCATACATGATCCTTGCCTCCCACGTAATGGCAGGATAATTGTGTTGCCATGGCGATGCAATCTGCTGCTATCACTTTGGTCCTCCACCAGATTGGAACCAGAGGCAAGTCCACAGCCTCACATTCATATGCATGTTAGGGTGTAATAAACGGCAGGAGAGGCAGATTGTAGAGTGTTTGAATGCGAATGTACATTCAGACAGAGGTTATCAGTGTATTCTGTTGGTAACAGGCAGAGTAGTGTGATAGTTTTCATTAATTCATTTACTTATTCTGCTGGAGCCATTTGTGGGTCCATCTTTGCAAACACATGCTGTGTGGCGAGGCACCGTTCAAACCCACAGAACTTAATTTCCAAAGACACCAAATGTGTTTTACTACATTTGGAAAACAAATGAATAAAATGATGCAGCCACATTTAAAATATGTACTACTACTACTACTACTACTACTATGTGATGTAGTAGTGTAGCTGTAAAAAACATATCGTATTGAGATTGAAGGTTTCACAGGCTGGCAAAACAATCTCAGCACAAGGTAGTTATGATAATAATAATAATTCAACAACAAAACAACAAACTCTTGTGAGTTTATGGAAAGCTCGGGAACAGCTTCTGAATGGACCCCGTGGTGTGTTTTTCAACAACTGTCTCAACTGCTATGAAGCTTTGGGACAAGAAGGTGCATCATATTGTCTTCTTCAGTTTTGTTTGAATTTAAAGAAAGTCAAGAGGAAATTTATTTGATACATACAGAATCATGGCTCAGTTCAATGTACAATTGTACTCTCAAAAATGAAAACTCAAGCCCTTGTTATGTTTTGTTTATTTCCAAATGTACATTTTTGAAATGCTTTAGGAGGTCTGCAGAACTTCATGTCTTCAAAATATCACTAAAAACTCAGATGGGCACCTTTAAAGTTTATAAAATAATGCCTGCTTTCTTTCTTCCCTGTGAATACAAACCTCTAATAGTTACCTGTAATTGTACACTTGTGGTATATTAAACTTTCAACATGATAGATAAAATTGCACAAATGTGCTGCAGTTATTTTCTTCCAGTGTGTGGTCGGCTTCATGCATATCAATGCAACTTTTGTGAACGTGAACATGGTGAGTGGGTGTGAGAGTGGAAAGCTGGGCAGCTGGGTGCCAAAGGGTTACAACTACATGAGCTCCCCAGAGAGAGCAGTGAGCAGAAACATGTTGTAGTTACTACTGTGTGTTTATACTGCAGGGACCTTCAGGACCCAAATTCACTGTTTAATAAGCAAAACGGGTGTCATCATGCAGGGAATCAATGACACTGAATCATAAAGTGGCTTTTCTGGCATTTATTTATCATGAAAAATACAGTTTATTTTTCCTGTGAGAATTTCACACTGGTTTCATTATTATGGACGGGCAGCAGGTGGTTTTATCATGATTTTTTTTTCTATCCCGAAGGATCCTTAACCTCTCCTCCTCCCACGCAGACCTCCCAGGCGCTCCTCATCGCCGGAGGCTCCGTGGATGAAGCAACAAGACGCTTGGTAGTAAAACGCGAGATAACAGTGATGATGATGATGATGAGAGGAGATTCTGTGTGTGGGCAACAATAGTTCATTATCGGCTGCGTGGTGTGTGTGTGTGTGTGTGAGAGAGAGAGAGAGAGAGAGAGAGAGAGAGAGGCATCCACATGACGGTGTGAGCAGCATCTTGGACGAACAGAGGTGTGTAAGATTTGTAATTTGTCACTTTCTTGAGAAGTCTGACATCGTTTGAGTGAAAGTTGTTTGGGAAATTGTCAAGTTTTGATCCTTGTTTATGCAACGTCTTCAGATTGGACAACTAGTTGAAGACGGAAGGATCTGTCTCCTCATGACGGCTCCACTCAACTGAAAGGCTGAAACAGGGTACCTGACTTTATCTTTTCTCTGTCTTTGGCTGCCAGTTTCATGTAGCTGATGCATTTTCACAAGAGAATCACAAGAAAGAAAACATGCATTTGTAAGGAAAGCTGTTTATGTGCTGATGATCTATCTATCTATCTATCTATCTATCTATCTATCTATCTATCTATGTCTGTCTGTCTGTATGTGTGATCATTTTGACTTATACCGGTTTATGATAGAAAATAACAGCCTACAAATTAAAGGGGTATTCCAGCAATTTGGTGTTGCACTTCTACAAAGTTGGGTGACTTATGAGATGAAGATTGAAAGAGGGATGGTCAAAATCAGTGCAATGGTTTGTGAGAAATCTTGATTTTACATGTCTCCTTCTTGCCTGCAATGAATTGTAAAGCAGGTGTGTTCATCGGTGAGGTAATTTACATACTGAGGTCTGATTGGCCTACTTGTACTCGACACAGTAAGACATTCTCTGAGCGATGTGTTTCCACAAGCTATTTGTAGCAAAGTCACTGACAATTAGCTTTTTCTGGGGTCATTTTTTTTGTTGCAATTATTGCTTGTTAATCTAAATGAGTTCTATTAATGTGCCATTCCGCTCTGGGATTTTTGTATTTGGTAACTGATGTGTTTTTAGACGTTATGCAGTTACTGTTTTTGTTGAAACTATCACTCCTCCAACTATTGCTCCTTCAATATATTAGCGTGCTTGGATGTGCAGGAAAGGACAAAGTCAGGTGACCTTCTTGAGGTTTAGGCACCAAAATTACTTGGTTAGGTTTAGGAAAATATCATGGTTGGGGTTAAAATAAGTACATTAATTACATCAGTTAAGCTGGTGAGTGTGTATTTGGACATGGCACTGTGAGCAGGGGGTTTGCAGTGACGATGGGTTTGCAAGATATGTGTAACTAAAAAGGAGACCACTGAGTTTTTCTTCAACCTCCTTAACGTTGTCTTCTCTCTCAACAATATCTGTTGTCATCAGGAACAGAAAACACAAGCAGCATATCACAGTTGTTTCTGTCCACATGTCAAATCTCCGTAGCTACTGTAGTCCAGATGTGTACATTTTTGAAGAACAACCTTTAGTGCCTACTAGTCCCAGACAACTTCTGTTCAGAAGACATACAGCTGAGTAGTACTGTTCATAATGAGTTAACTGATTTTCATTTGTTAAATAAGTGCTGCCTACAATTCAAAGATTTTGGTGTGGATGTTTGTTGTCACAAGAACAGGTTTCTGTGCAAAGTGTTATGGGAAGTATCTCTAGTATAAAGACATTTTGTTGAGGGTGCAAAATCAGATGAGGGGATGGAAACTAGATGGATGCATTGACTTTGATGGACTCGTCATGGACTGCAAAAGGCTGGCTGTTCTGTGTACGTGTGCGTGTGTGTGTGTGTGTGTGTGTGTGTGTGTGTGTGTGTGTGTGTGTGTGTGTGTGTGGAGGTATGAGAAGGTCAGGCCATATGAGAGGCCTTTTCAAGTCTGTCTGCTTATGAGAGCAGAGCAGTGAGACGTCCTGTCATTGCACCGCTCAGCTCCGGACCCTCTCACACACACTATCCCATCTCGTTGTTGACAGCTGAGAAACTGAAAGCTGTTACCTGACTTTGATCGAACTGTTTGACACAGACTCTAAACCATGAGCGGTGAGTAACCAGTGAGCACTGAAGTTTGCAAAGCTTAGAAGCTTCTACTAATTCTAGATTTTGTGTGATTACGAAAAGAATAGTGGATATTAGAATTTACAAGGACAGAAGCATTGCAATTTTATTAGAGATATTTTTGAGACTGTAGCACATTTATAGCAGCATATAAGGTGCACCATCTCTGATTTTGAAGGAACAATTCCTGTTTTATTGGATCAATAATAAAATAATTTGTGCATAAAATAAATCAACTGATAAGTTATGTCTGAGTACTGTTATTGTGATCTCGTGGTGCAAATAAAGACAAATACTGTAGTACAGTATGTGAAACATGTAGGTAACAGCTTGAGATGAGTGTCCTAGTACGTTTTAACACAGCAGTCAGAAGTGGCTTTCTGTTGAGGTGTGAAATGTGCTCTGCCTTACAAGCTGCATGCTTTTACCATCAATAATGATAACTGAGTTAATTTTTAAAATATTTGCTAGTGTTTTGTGCTGCAGAGGTTTTGGATTTTAAGATATTCTTTTGGTATAAAAAAATGTCTGTTGACCATCTCAGAGTTATTGATACTTTCCATTACTATTATAGACCTTCATTTCCTTGCTGTTAGCTTAATGTTTATCACTGTCCTCATCCACTGTGGGATGTTTGGGTTGTCAGAGTGCTGCCTGCAGACTCACCAGGACCGAGCAGTTTGAGCCAGAGTTGGTGGCTTTAGGCTGGACATCAGGTTACTGCTTTGACACTAATGAAACCTCAGTGACATACACAATAAACAGTGTAATACAGTCAATGTTAAAACTGCAACTGTTTTCTCTGGCTTTGGGAATAGTGTTTCTTAACTATTTATAACAATAAAGCATTGGAAACAAAGTTAAGTAGCCCATAGTTGTTGGCCTGGTTGGCTCCAGTTGGCTTATGCAGCTTTAATACAATGCTGTGGTGTGAGGCTGTAGGGGCAATGATTGCTGCCTGTCTGCCTGGCAGGTTCGGGGAAACCAAATCCATTCCTGAGTTGGAAAGGAACATTTTCATCATATTGTTTCAAACAAAATTATCCAAATGATGCTTTTTCTATTGAGACTACCGAAGCACTGTATCTAACATACAGTAGAAGTGTTTTTAAAGTATTTTAGCAATTATATTTGAATCTCGACAGTAGAGAGATGACAGAAAATGAGTGAAGAGAAATGGGGAATGATGTGCCCCAAAAGCCCCCCAGCCAGACTCTGGGTCTGGGGACTGGGGACTGGGGCCTGGGGACATTGCTGTTCACAATCGATGCTTCAAACCTTAAATGGGGGGATGATCAATAATATATCAATATATCTAACAAATCTGCACATTGAAAGACTGATTTCAAAACTACTTTTACTTCCTGACATAAAATTGTATAATCTACTGAAACATGATCAGAAACAGAAATCATTGGTGATCACTTGGAATCAATTAAATAATATATGTTGAAGCTGGCTGTTTGATATGTAAAAGCAATGGCGGTGTACTGTCTTTATGTTTATCAGCTAATGTTTTTTACCATTTAATTATTTCACTAAGGCTTCATTATTCCTTCATTGTTTTCTTTTCTGGGCTCGGTGACACTGATTTGCACTGAACATGCACAGAGCATGACATTACATTTTGTTGACACAAGTGGCAGTCCATTTCAATGCTAATGCAGAGCTGTCAAAACCAGGAAAGTGTATGATTTAATCTGCCTTTTCATCCCCTCTCATCCATTCAGCCCTCAGAAATTGTGAAAAAGGAACAGGAGCACTCTTTCGAGTCCGCATTGCACATTTTAATCAGATGTTTCCTCTCGTGCTTCAGTTACACACGCACACACACACACACACACACACACACACACACACACACACACACACACACACACACATGCTCTCAGGCAGTAAGCGTGAACGGTGCTGCATAAGAGGTGATTATTCTGCATCTAACACCGAACTAAATAATTGGCTGGGATTATCAAGGGTCATCCCACATTCTGCTCAACAATGGGTCTTTTACACTGTATGTGGGATGTATAGATAAATGTGAACCTCAGAACAATGGACAAAAGAAAATCAATAGACAAGAATAATGCAAATAGTCTTTGGAGATCATATGGTAAGTGTTTATCCCTCAGGGAAGAATGAAAATATAAAGGTGTTGGAGCTTAGAGTGACTTTATTGAACGTTAAGGACAAGCAGATGAAGAAGCTGGCTGTTTACTGTATTGGTCTTTAAGAGAAGGTCTTCAGGTCTGTTTGCACAGGGTGATTCAGAGGAAAACGTTGTAGCCTAGATAGATAAGGGCCAGCCACGTGCTACACACAGACTGCTTTGTGTTGTACAGCAGAAGGAAACACGGTAAGACTACAGAAGCTCAATGTTTTTAACTAGTACAGTGTTGTTACAGCTCTACTTAAATGTATAAAAACTGATCACAGTAAAAGTAAAAGATTTAGAAAGACAGAGCTGATATTTATTTATTTACTTGGTATAGTACAAAAAAGGGCATGCCCAGAAAAACACATGTAGCTTGCTTATATTCAAGGTCATGCTTTTAAAGTTTAACATGTTCTCTAGCCTTGCAACTTGGAGAGTGAGACCAGCAAGAGTGTTTATTTAACTCAGACAAAACTACCATCAGTATTATACAATATGAGGTCACGAACAAAAGCTTTTACTTTAGATACTTCGATACATCTAATATCAAGTACATTAATTGTGTATAAGTAGTGCGTGAGTAGAAAGTAGAATTATGAAGTGGTTTGTTTCTCTGATGATTGCAATTATGATTGAATAATGACTTGCTCCAAGTCCGTAATGGTAAATGATAAATGGACTGTACTTATATAGCGCCTTTCTAGTCTTTCAACCACTCAATGCACTGTACACACTACATGCCACACTCACCCCATTCACACACATTCGCACACATTCATACACCGATGCACAGCATCAGGAGCAATTTGGCTTCAGTGTCTTGCTCAAGGACACTTCGACATGCAGCGAGAGGAGCTGGGGATCAGCCTTCCGATTAGTGGACGACCCACTCTACCTCTGAGCCACAGTAATGGACTATTACATTATTATGATTATTAGTTCAGGTTTTTTAGTTTACTGATAATTCATTTGGTCTGTAAAGGGTCTTAAAATAGTGTAAAATTCAGATCACAGTTTCCCAGAGTTAAAGGAACGTCTTCAAATTGCTTGCTTGTCCAGTGAACAGTGCAAAATCCCAAATATTCAATAATATGAAACTAATCACCAAATGCTCGCATTTGAGAAGTTGTAACCAATAAATTTTGGTAGTTTTGCTTAATAATGAATTATGTTTTGTTTGTCTTCTAATTGCCTTACAACTAGAATGAAGCAATTTATATGAAAAGGGGGGCATTTACTTTCTGGGCACTAAGAAGAAGAAATTAAATATCTGGGTTTTCTTTTCAGCAACCCCACTATGCCATATATCCATTTAGGGCATACTCTGTTCTGATTGCACAAGAAAAAAAACTAGAATATGTGACCAATTATTTCTCCCTCTTTCGCCCTCTCCCGGCCCAGTTTCCCACGAGACCTGCCTCCTGGACCAGGTGCTGGAGCTGATTATGAATGAGAAGCCCCCCACCAGTGCTAGTCTTTTTCTAAACGAGGACGCGGACAAACCCCCCCTGCCCGAAAGAGGAGACTTGAGAAGGCGCCTACGCAGGGCCATGGAGAGGAGAGCCAGCAGCATGAAGGAGAGGATGAGCTCCATCAGTAGGGAGAGCGTCAAAGGTTTCCTCAAGAGGAACCTGTTTGTTCTGTTCACTGTCGCCGCTGTGGCTCTGGGTGAGTGAGGAGAGAAGTGGAGGTTTAACGCTGTTTCTCTGCTGTCAGACTTTATTTGACTTTTGTGCTTTTGTATGTGTGTGCAAATTTATTCAGGTGTAATCCTGGGCTTTACTTTACGCCCCCACAACCTGTCCCTGAGGGAGATCAAGTACTTTGCCTTTCCTGGGGAGCTGCTAATGAGAATGCTACAGATGCTGGTGCTGCCTCTCATCGTCTCCAGTCTGGTCACAGGTTGGATGGCATGTTTCAGTAGATTACTGGTTAGATCCGGAAATGGGAGAGGTGAAGGAATGTTATGACAACTACATGAGAGGCTTTTAAACTGGGGTCTGGGGCCAACAGGGGTCCTTGACTGGGTTGTAGAGGGTCCCAGCAAAAGGAGGAATAGAATGTTTTAACTGTGAACCAAAAATGTTTTTTGTTTTTGATTGATTGTAATTTATAGTGATCCCAGTTTGGTCACTGATTGATTATGAAGATCTTATTAACTTCAAAACACAGAATACAGTTATTACTCAGAGAGACAAACTTATCTATTGTGGGGGTCCTTGACATAAAAAGGCTTGGGAACCCCTGAACTACACTGCACAACTTTAAATATCAGCTCCAATCACAGAGAGAAATAATCACCAATGTCATGCTCGGGAAAACCAGAGTGCTTCATTATTTGGCCAATTACTGGCCAATTATATTAGTGTTCATTTAAATTAGTGTTCATTTATTTTCTCAATCTAATTTCCTCTGTCTCAGGCATTTCCTCCTTGGACAGCAAAGCATCAGGTAAGATGGGTATGCGTGCAGTGGTCTACTACATGGTGACCACCCTGATTGCCGTGTTCATTGGCATCGTTATTGTGACAATCATCAGACCGGGGAAAGGCAGCAGGGACAGTCCCGTGGCCAACAGTGGAAACATAGAACCAGTTCAGGCTGCTGATGCTTTCCTGGATCTCATCAGGTAACATCTTAGAAACTCTACTTGACCTGTGAAGTTGCTACTTTGAGTTTGTCAACACACACACACACACATACACACACACCATCCACATTTAAAGTTATTGTCAGAGGACAAGATTGATACCACTCTCATATTTACTCTTAATATGACACTACAGCCAGTAGACAGTTAGCTTAGCTTAGCAGAGGCCAAGAAATAGTTAAAGAAACTAAATATATCATATTAAGATGTGAGCTTTAGAGATGCTGGTAGGTAGGAGCTGTTTCACCCTATATCCAGTCTTTATGCTAAGCTAAGCTAACTGGCAGCTGGCTGTAGCATCATATTTAATGGGCATATGTGAGTGGTATCAGTTTTCTCAGTGAACTCTCTGCAAGAGAACAAGCAAGTGTATATCCAAAAACTATCCCTTTCAAAGGTTTAATATACTCATTAGGACATTCAGGTGTGGAAATTAACTCATTCACCCATTCACCTTTTGTATCTGATCAAACAAATGACTCATTCTGTATTCTTATTATCATATGGTTATTGATTAACAAATTGTAGTATTACATAATGTACAAACTTCTGTGACTCATGTTTTATAGAAACACAAGCACAAACATAATAATTTCTCTCTCAACTTTTCTTCCTTAGGAACATGTTTCCTCCCAATCTGGTTGAGGCTTGTTTCAAGCAGGTGAGGCTGTCTCTTCCCATCAGTCATATAATATTAATAGTATTTCTTTAACACATTTTATTTTCATTTTTGGAAACACATATATTTATTATTATAACACAACTCCCATCATCCATCTCCAGACCACAAATGTAACCAGCCATCAAAGACAAAAACAGCTACAAAAAGGACATTATTTGACTGTAAAATCACGTCTCACAAATCACTGTCAGAAACTTAAAGTCATAATTAATGCATTATTTTGGTTTAATTTTAATGCTCTCTCTTGCAGTATAAAACTGTGTACAAGAAAACTGTGCACTCAAGGAACGTGACAGTGACCCTGAACCTCACCGACTCTCTCAACGTGACAGACTCTAACTTGAGTGTGAACCTCAGCAGGGTGCTGCACACCATACAGGTGGGTGGCAGACAAAGACATTATTCAGACTTAATTCATATCACTTTATACAGATGTAAGGGGACCTTTTACTACATCTTACATTTTGTGTCAAGCACCTCTGCAGGAACTAAACTTTTAATATAATGTTTCCTTACACATGTTTTTTACAACAGGAGACAGTGGAAGAGACTGTCCCTGTGTCCGGCTCCTCTGCTGGAGTGAATGCTCTGGGTCTGGTGGTTTTTTCCATGTGCTTTGGTCTGGTTATTGGTAACATGAAGCAGCAGGGTCAGGCCCTCAGGGACTTCTTTGACTGCCTCAATGAAGCCATCATGAGGCTGGTGTCCATCATCATCTGGTCAGTAAAGATACACCTCTCTCTTTTCAAAGATGGTGTACAAAAAGTTCCTAATGCTTGTGCAGATAGATAACTATCAAAGAAATTCATAAAGCAATTGTATAGCTCTTTCTAAAGACCTGAGTTGGTTATAGAAATTCACTTTAGTTACTTAACACATGTGCTTGTCTCCCTATCTCCCTCATGCATCTCACTTCTCAGGTATGCTCCAGTGGGCATCATGTTCCTGATTGCAGGGAAGATTGTGGAGATGAAGAATCTGGCAGAGGTGGGCGGCCAGCTGGGGATGTACACCGTGTCAGTCATTGTGGGTCTCCTCATCCACGGCCTCTTTGTGCTGCCACTGCTTTACTTCCTAGTGACCAGGAAGAATCCCTACAGTTTCATTGGTGGCCTGCTGCAGGCACTCATCACAGCTCTGGGGACCTCATCTAGGTAAGTCTCATCCTCTGTCCTGCTCAGATTCTGGTGTCCATGACACTAAAAAATATATTTGCCGCTTAATGTTTGCCCCATTGTGTGCCAATATAATTTGACCATATCATATAATGATTTAGATTAGAACAGTGGACAAAGAGATTCAAATTAATTGGAATTTACCCTACAAGTTTACACTTGTAACATTGCTTGGATATGATATGATCTATGAAAGGATAGAAATTAATAGGAGATACTGTGTGTTATAGAGAAATAACCCTTCACATCTTGCTCCCTGCATACTGCAGCTCTGCTACCCTGCCCATCACCTTCCGCTGTCTGGAGGAGAACAATCGCGTGGATAAACGAGTGACACGTTTCGTCCTCCCTGTGGGTGCCACGATCAACATGGATGGCACTGCCCTCTATGAGGCTGTGGCAGCTATCTTTATTGCTCAAGTCAATGACATGGACCTAAACTTTGGACAGATTCTTACTATCAGGTAACCCTACTTTAGTTTTGATTTACACCACATACACAAATACTGATGCTGGCGGCCAAATGTCATCCTTTTCATTCCCACACCTTTTTGTTTAGGACGAAAGTTGTGTTTTACTTTATTTACTTTGATAATTGTGTTGATGCCATGTGTGTATTATTTTCACTGTAAATAACCAAAAATAGCATGCAACAGTATAGAAGAAATAAGAAATGACCTGAAGACGATAAAGATATAATAAATATAATAATATAAAGATAACACAGGCAACAGTAGCTGTCTATCACCCAAACTGCAGCAGAGAGTCTTGCCAATGTCTGCAGGCAGCAGGAATAGTGTCCTTGGGCTAATAGGCTAATAGGCTAATAGGCTAATAGGCTTAAGAGCACTAAATCTACTGTTTGATTCTGGTACATGAAAGTATTACGAGACCCTGAAGCCCCCAAGTGCTCTCTTTGGGCATGTATTGGAAGTGCCGAGGGCAGTAAGTATGTACGAGAGCTAGTATCAGGTATACAGGTTTGTAGTACTAACCGTTCTCAGCAGTGAGCTACAGTCAGCTCAGAGAAGAAAACATTTTATCCTTGTATTTATCTTTTTGGTTTGGGTTATTATTCTGAGACATGTTGTAACTTATTGTTCTGAAAGGGAACATTTTATAAAACAACTTGTGTCTAATGGTAAGGCAAACCCTGGCTGGAGAACCCAAAACTATTAACGGAATTAACTGATGTACGAACTGTGGAAGAAGAGTTTGTGCAGCCCTGCAGTGATTACTAGCAATGCCTTTCTCAATTTGCGCTTACTGCATAGTTGGTGTACAGACATTTTCTTCCACATGAATTTTCTGCTTCATCTTTATTACCACTTTACTCCAGAATAGTTATTTACACTATGATTCACCTGGTCAGCCTCATTAACAGAGCAAGTGTATACATATGTACATCACTGTATTATAATTTTTATTCATCTTTGACAGCCTGGGCACAACCCTCTACAGTTGATAGTAAATATAGCTGTGTGACCAGCTTGAGGATAATTTACATAATTGTATAATTCCTCATGTGCTTTTATCACTTTACTACTCCCACCAGTAGTGCACATGTGCTGCTTGTTTGTTTCCCTTTATTAAATGTCTTCACTCTCCTCTCCATCCCTCCCACCGCCCACTCAGTATCACGGCAACTGCTGCCAGCATTGGAGCAGCAGGCATCCCTCAGGCTGGCCTGGTTACCATGGTGATTGTATTGACATCGGTGGGACTGCCCACAGAGGACATAACACTGATCATCGCTGTGGATTGGTTCTTGTGAGTTCCCACTAAATGTCAGCTTGATGGGGATTGGTCTGTGTACTGTTCTGTGGGTCTGCCAGCCTAAATGTCATTGTAAAGCTTCAGAGAGCCCAGAGGTCCCACCACTACAAAGGTTATTGATGCATAATGCAGAGTCACAGATTAGAAAGCCTGTGTTTAGAGGCACAGTTATGAATTTTCGGCTGGGAGTGTTTTTATAGCAAATATACAATAATGTTTTCCCTGTTTGTACATCTCTACTGTACATCTCTTTTTACATTCTTTCTGTCTTATCTCCCTACAGGGACCGCTTGCGTACCACCACCAACGTGCTGGGTGACTCTCTCGGGGCTGGCATCGTGGAGCACCTCTCCCGCAGAGAGCTGCAGAGTCAGGATGCTGAGGTGCGCAACTCTGTGATCGAGGAGAATGAGAAACCCTACCAGCTTATCTGTCAGGAAAACGATTCACTCAATCACCGCAACAGTGAGACCACAATGTGAAGACAAGAGCTACACCCTTAAGGGCTTCATGTACCAAAAGCATTTTAGCTAGAAGTTTGGCTTGCATTGGTGCAGAGACAGTCTTAGAAAATAATAGTTCTTGATCAACTCATCCAGTGCTTGGGGCAATACAAATCCTGTGCCCAGGGTTGCTTAATGACAGGAAATAAGTACACATACTGTTTAGGAACAGTTACGCATCCTATGCCTACAATCTGATTCATTCAGTGCCAGTTATTTGGGGGCATTTTGCTGTTTGATGATGTGTCATTCAATGTCAGGCAAACTCAATGTGTCAGACAGTCGACAGTTGAAAGTCATTTTTAGAAAGTCTATAGCTTCATCGTGTTTTCAAAGATTCTTATGATTTATGATCCATACAGTCAAAGCATCAGAAACCCCTCCCCAGCATAAGTGTTATTACACACAGTATTATTAGAGAAACACCACCATTCACAAACAAAAAAAGTAAACCAGCATATTTTCCAATCTTGTGAATATGTAAATCTGCATAATTTGGCTATTTCTGTTGCATGACTTAACATCTAATATATATTATTTCTTTTGCAAACACTTATTTTTTGTCATTTCCATTGTGACTACCTCTAATAGGACTTCTACAGCACTACACACAAAAATACTCAAGCATATCAGCAGCATGTAAATACATCAATCTCAGAATTGTTCTGGATTCCGTATTTAAGTGTTAAATATTGTTTATGTTAAAGGGATAGTTCAGGTTTTATTAAGTGGGGTTGTATGAGGTACTTATCAATTGTCACTGTATTACCTGCAGTAGATGGAGGTCAGCTTGCCCCCAGTTTGGAGAAGCAAAAAGGAGTCCTGGCAGAGAAGCAGAGCACTGCTGAATACAGGGTTAGCAGAAAAAAAATATTTTATCCACATAAAAAACTCCCACCTTGAAAAACTTAATATCAGTTCGTAATCAGCAGTGCTTTGCTTTGCTTCCCTGCCGGGCCTCCTGTCTGCTTCTCCAAACTGGGTTTGTGCTGACCTCCGTCTACTGCAGGTAATACACTGTGGATAAGTATCTCATACAAACGCACTTCAAACAACCCGAACAATCAAGTTTGCTTAGACAATGTAATTGTACAATTTTGAATGTACTTGACTGTTAAACACTGGAGGTTGGTGTGAAGGAGAATCTTTGCTAATTATTGTTTTGAGTTTGATATAATAAGTGACTTTGACGTTTTTCCCTCAGTACTTTCTTATAGATATTATATTTGTGTGTGTATTTCCTGTATTTCTTTGGTGCTATTGCTTTTAAATTATGAGTACAGGACTGTACTGCTACACAGCAATTTCACAGGAACACCTACAGTTAACCTTGTTCTTGCTCTTTTTTTACTTAAATATCAAACAGAAGAGGGAAATATCAAACAGATACAGATTTATTGTTTCTAGGTAAAATTTTCTATATTAAGACTTGATTGATCTTGCATTGGATCGTCTTTTTTGCCTCATTACTGATTTATAAAGTATAAACAACTGTAGTTTCAAGTTTTCACTTTTTGTTGTTGGTCACAATAGTGGGCATAACATCAGTATTAAACCTGCCTGTCTGTGTTTTCTGCTTAATAAGTCATACTATCAACTAAATGTGTTACTTATTTTTTTTTTATATTCTGACTGTAATAATATATTGCAAGTTAATGATTGATTATTTTTATTGTTTAGTGAAAAGGTACTGTGGAGAAAGCTTGTGAAACCCTTGAGGAATTTAATGTACTTTATGCTTTTAGGTGTAGATTGTTTTAGAGGAAAGTGTTGTGCATAATTATGAAAGTGAAAAGTTAATTGACAGCTCTTCTGACTTTGTGTCACTTTTCGGCTATTAGGTTGGATTTTAGTTTCAATGCTTGATGTTATTTCCGTAAAAAGCTCAACATTTTGATTGACGGCTTATGAAAAATGTGACAAATAAATGGCTCAGGAATTGAACTGTGATTCTCATCATTGTGTTTGTGGCTACCCCTGGTGGAGGATATTCTCCTGTCTGTCCCAGAAACTGTTCTCTTTTGAGATATACATGGGTCAAATATAATATGAGAAAAAAACTGTTTGGAATAATAATTGGATGGGTCCTATGTTAAAACTGTTTGATATTAATGTAAGTAGTTTGTCATTAAAAAAGACAAAACTTTACCTTGTATGCTTTTGTTTGAATGTCAAAACTGTCTGTTGTCATTGTAATATCTTACATTGCAAACTTCCCTGTTGTTTTTAAAGTAATCCAGGTCTGACTTATTGATGATTTCCACAAATTCCACAAAGTACAACTGAGGCTGATGAGTGATTTTAATTTTCTTTTTTTTTTTTTTTTTTTTGGTATTTGGACATAAAACCAATTACTGGACAAATTAAAAATGTACTTGATGAAAAGTTAAGGGGTCACCCAAAATCATCATCCTGAAAGAATGTCTAATGTTATGGCAATCCACCATAGTTGAGACAGATGATAGTTGAAATATTTTAGTCTGGACCGAAGTGATGAACCCACCAACATTGCCATCCCTAGATCCACAACATGGCTAAATAAAGTGCACGCGCGCGCACGCACACACACACACACACACACACACACACACACACACACACACACACACACACACACACACACACACACACAAGGTACTCAGAAAAAGACAGTGAGGCAGTTCCAATTATTATTTTAGATTAATTTATAAAATAGTTCACTTGAGATACTGTGTTTTAACATACAGTGCATTCTTCTACAATACAATACTTGTGTGTTTGCCACACAATTGAGCCCTCTAAGTTGTAACAGCCTTGCCATGTGGTGAATTGAATCATGAATACTTTGGCATAGTTTAGTGACGGACTATTGGTGAAAAAGATAAATGTAAACTGCAAATGCGTAGATATTTAAATCTCTGGTAGATGCCTGAGGGCCTCATTTTAAAAGATTGATTTCATACTGAGATTACAAACAGTCAATATACAGAGTGGACAAAATATCAGGAACATTTGCTCTTTATGTGACATAGGAAGTTGTATCCAGGTGAAATCTCTCTGATTCCGCTGTGATTTCACCTGTCTAACAGTCAATATATCAGGTCAAAGCCTACACTGCATGGAGTGTCATTACACATCACTGAAGGTATACAAGTCACAAATAAGCATAGAGTATTTTGCTGATATACAATATTAATATCAATGCTTGTTTATCGTTTGTTTAATTACATCTTTTAGTAATGTTGTAGAGGGAGACACTTCCAGGCAGACTCTGGCAAATAACAGTATGAGCCATTTAAAAAAAACAAAAAACTCAACTCAACTTATCTTACAAGTAAATACTCTGTTGATACCTTTCCAGCCACGTGTTTAGGCATATTTCAAGCACAGTTCATGTTTAAATATATAAAGCCATTTAAATATGTATTGCTGCCCAGGTCTGGTCCCAGGGAGACAGATAGTGTAGATAGAGAGAGACACAAGATGACTGGAGAGTCAGCAAACTTCGCCGTGTAAAGATGACAAGCTGCTGAAAGTTTACTTGGCCTGTAGAAAGGTGGGATGACAGACATTATGGAAGATATTTTCACATATTATATACCATGCATTTAACACATTATAACACAGTCAAATGGTAAAAAACAAAAAAACAACATACTTGTGACTATGAGTTTTCATCCATATTTGATGGTGCTCCATCACTCCACATTGAGAACTGCCCAATTATCTTTTTTGTCCTGATGAACACAAGAGGAGGAAATTCATAAAAATGTCCCAGATAATATGGTAATAACATTAAAGTCTCCCTTAATATCTCAAATCAACACTCATAGATAATATTTGAATAAATTCGATTTAATATTGCAGGAGGTTGTGACAGTCTTGTTGCTGTACAGAAGCTTGTATCTGACCTCTGACATGACGGGCAGGTTGTCATGAGGAAGGAGCCACATGGTTCGGTGGGCCTTTCTTCTCTGTCTCATGAGCTTTCTCAGCAACCTCTTCACCTTGCGGTCTCTGGGGTCTGCACATTTTACCGCCTTCTTTGTGTAAAGACTATAAACAGAACACAATACTTATTACACAACACAGGATGGTTCAAGGTTCTGCTGGACACAGAAGGAAAAAGAAAGCAACCCCAAATTTGAATCAGCTGGAAGCCAAACATTGACACAAACAATGATTCAGCAATACTGTGGAGGACTATAAAGATGTCCCGTGTAGTAAAGCCCCAGAGAATCTGAGGCTGAAAAAATCACAAATAGAGTAGAAATAGAGTCTATTACGTTTTTTTTTTTCTCTGGTAGAAAGAAGTCAAACTGTGATCAAAAGTGGGGAAAGTTGAAGAAAAGAGGTTGGGAACCACTGAATTAGAAAGGACCAAAAGAAACTATTGTATCTACTGTATAAGAACTCAATGTTTTCGTGAACTGGACCACATGAAAAAGCAAGCTCCTCATTCCCCAGCTACATCAGATTTCTCTGACCTGCTGGAAACAATAGGTATCACAATGCAGAATGGTTTACTTAACTAAACCCTGCTGTTCTGACTGTCTGGCTGCGGCAGGGCTCAGCTGGCTCGGAAGGTATTTTCAGATGGCTTGTTATTCCCACATATTTCCTTTCTTACTTCCCTGGCAATTACAGCTCCGAGCCCTGCCATAACAACATGACCTGGAAAGATGACAATGCCTCTCAGCCCGGCTCTGCCCTCCTCTAACGAGAGGCATATTTTCCATGCCTGCAGATTGCTGTGTGCTCTTTAGCTCCAGGAGTGGATAGTTGAAATACTTGCATGATGGCTTGTATACTGCAATCGGGCCCCTCCGTCTGCACCTCAAACCGCAACACATCTTTGGTACGCACCTTGCCCTGGGAGTACAACATGCAGCACTGGACATCCCTTTGCATCTGCACACCTTTACCTGGGAAAAAGAGAGACAAACACAGAGAAAAAAGAGCAGGGAAACAGGATGTCAAACAAAAGCTAATTGGCAGAATGATACAGAAGTGCCTTGTTGTCGAGCACATTTAATGATGTTGACTTTTTGCCTTCTATTTGACACACTTGACATTTTATTTTTGCTTCACTTTACCAGGTCACCTCAGAGTGAAATTATTTTTCTCAAGTGAGAACAGGACACTGAAGCAACATCACCACAGCCACAAAAGTTTCAGACAGTATGCATTATTACATATTATCACAAATAACATTGGATACAGAAACAGTTTACATTCATGTTTACTGCACAGAATCATGAGTTTTAAACATGTCAATATTCTGATGTCACCAAAGACAGAAACAAAGTGTTTTGGCAGCTTTTGCAGGCAGCAAAATGTTATCTATTCTGCAGAATGTGCACATGCCCTCTAGTTACATATACACACACTCATATATGGACACACATATACACACAAGAATGTCAGAGGAATTACAATGGCATCCCATTGTGCTGTAAAACATACTACCATGGCAGTGAAATTAGAGGCAGAGAAAGTGAGAGAAAAAGAGGAGGAGTGTGTGTTTGTGTGGAGGGTGTGCCATGATGCCTTTTCATCCAAAGCAAATGTGTAAACAAATTAAAGTGTCATGGGAGCAGTAGGAGCATTAAGACCTGTAAAATAGGACAGTGCTGCTTTGTTATGCTACAGATGATTCTGAATCCATCCTCAGGCACATCACCGCACTTTCAGCTCTTTCACAAAATAAAAAATAAAAACACACGAGACGACACAATCACACAGACTGAGCCCTGACACAGTTGCTTTCTCTCTGTGTGAGTGTTGCGTGATTTCAGATGCTCGTCCTCCTGTGTTCTGCCCCTCTGTTTACATCCATGCTTCCCTCCCTGCTGCTCCTGCTGCTGCTGCTATCCCTCTTTCCGTCTTCTCTCATTTTTTGTCTTCGCCATCGCTCTCTTTGCTACACTGTGCACCTGCAGGGTGCATGCAAGCCATGCAACACACACACACACACACACACACACACAAACGCACATGCACACACACACATACACACACGCACTTACACACACTTACACACACTTACACAAACACACACACACACACACACACACACACACAAACATAGTAAGAGTGGTTGTGTCCTACCTTCCACAGATGCCAGGAGAATAACAGTCAACATCTGCAGCATGAACATGATGAGGCTGGCAGAGAGGAGGAGAGGAGAGGAGGATAATCTACTCTGTCACCTCTCCCTCTATGGCTGCCTCTCTTATATTACTCCCTCCCTCTCTTTATACCTCCCTGCCCATCTCTCACTCACTCACTTCCACCACCACCTCTCTTTTTCTGTCTTACCGTCTTTCCCTCCCACCCTCTGTTTATCCATTTTCAGTCATTCTCACGCTCAGCTAAACTCCCTCCCTGATTCTCTTTTTCTTTTACACTCATCTCACCTCTCACTCATTTCTCCTTTCCTGCCTCTTCACTCTGGATGCCAAGCCTCATTTGTCTCATTTGTGGCTTTAAATTCCTCCCTCATTTTGTCTCTTATCCTCAGTGCATTTTCCCCTCCAAGACTGAATCAATTTAATAGGTGAAATCAACAAAGAATCATATCACATGTCTTGATTTGGCATTTCATTTGCAAAAAAATTAATCTCCAGATAGTATCCAATTTACCCTGGTATGTAGCTGTATAAGGTAACCGAACAGTAGGCGTATCTGACTTGTGCATCTGGATCAGTCTTGTAGCAGAGTTATGTTCTCTGCGGGATTCCAGACAAAATGCCAAACACACTTAGAAACAGTGATAAACTGAATTTATTAGCTATACCTAACCTTATAAATGGTTTAAAAGTGCCTGTTGTAGAGCTGACGTTATATGTATAGTATATGTTTTTCTTGTACCATTTAAAACTGAACTTAACCTGTAATTGTGTTTTTGTTGTTAATGATTCTTGTTGTTTTAAATAATGTCTCCTTTGTCTCGTTCATCTCTTGTCCCCTCTTTATCTGCTTATTTTGAAAGAGGTGTTCCACAAGGTTCAGTCTTCGACCTCTTGCTGTTTTTATGCTCCCACTTGTTCAGGTTATAATCAAAACAATGTTTTAATTCTACGTTGATGACACACCGTTCTATGTTTGATTTTACTCACCACAAACTTGTTTTAAGGCAGGCTTTTCAAGTTTCTAGTAATAAATGT